AAGTTTTGGCAGTTGAGAATAAACCTGCGACAATGAAGAAAAAAAAAACGTTAGTGGATGAGAGCAGACATTACGACATGAATGGTAAAAAAATATTGGAAAATATTGGTAGCTGAGAGTCGACATTCGACTGGATTGATAAAAAAAGGTTTGATGACTGAGAGTAGACACACGGCGAAAATTCTAAAAAATCTTTGGTCTCTGAGAGTCGACACATGTCTTTAATTGTAAGAAAGTTTCAGTAGCAGAGAGTAGACATACGATTGAAATTATAAAAATGTCTTTGGTAGCTAGGAGTATACATACGACTAAAATGGTAAATAAAGAATAAAGCTTTGGTAGCTGGCTGAACATAGATATACAACTGGAATGGTATCAAAAGCTTTGGTAGTTGAGAGTAAAAACACCACTATAGTAAAAAAAGCTTTAATGGATGAGAGAAGACCAGCGACTGAAATTGCAAAATAGATTTGACAAATGAGAGTAGACATACGACTCGACAGGAATGATAAAAAACTTTGGTGACTGAGATACATAAAGCATACGACTGGAATAATTTAAAAAAAGGTTGGATATCTGAGGGTTTAAGAAATATATAACTGGAATGGTAAAAAAGTTTTGATAGCTGTTTGCCAGAGTAAACAAGACTAAAATTTTGAGTGTATCAAATTCGAAGTAAAGTTTTAATTTTCAACACTATACCTATACAATAGCTAGCTGCAAATAATCGACTTCGCTTTAAAACGGACAAATACTTCATTTTTTTTATAAAGATGGATGAAAATCGAAACTATACTGAAAATAAAGCTCATTGAATGCTTAATGAATTGATTAATGAATATTTATGAAATTTGTATATTTTTAAGAGATCAATAGGTTATACAATCTTGGTGTAGTCTTCAAGTATTAAAAAAAAATGAGATCGCAAACTCTTTTTATTTTCCGGTAACTGCAACTTTTGTACATATTGACATTTTGGGCCATTTTCATAATAAGCGCACAGAGGGCTGTCTCGAATTTCTGGAATTTTCACAGGGTCAGATTTCTTAATGCAGTCAAGGTTACAAGTAAAAATCATTGGAAACATTTTTTGCACTCATTGGAAGATTAATAACTGAGTTAGATTAACAGACTCAGAGAAGATCACGTTTTGATATTACGCGATCTAAGTAGGTCAGTTCAAGTTATTTTAATTTTTAGCTTTAAGCATAGAATCTTCGAGAAAAATGGTAATCTCAAATTGGTTGATAACGATGATCACTAACGGATTTGTCTCTGACTCAATTCCTATATGTAGTGAGTCATTCAGTTATAGAATATGTCATTCAGTTATAGAATATTATTTATCTATTATCATGTATTATAATTTTAATCTATATTTATTACATTCCGAAGCATTTTTATAACAAGAACGAAAATTTATATTTTTTGTATATTCATTACCAAGGTCTGTTGCTATTCAATGAAAGAATAATGATCAAGAGAAACCGAACAAAATATTATTTATTTTTTTAATTAAATGAACCTCGACATTTAAATGTTTTAATTCTTTAGTGTTTCTGTTAAATTAAAGTGGTTCGCGCATTAAAGTAAAAGCATCCATAAAAAGTTGTTAGGAGTTTTAAAATCAACTCATAATTTTCAAAACAACTAAAATTATATGTGCTTATTCATTGTAACATTACATCGAACAAACACATATAATGTTTAGTTGCTTTGAAATTATTAATCACAACTCCAAATACATTTTGAACAACTCCCATTACAAGTTTTGACATCATAAATTACTACATTAACAAGGCAACGCTTAAGAAATTTGTTTAGGAATGAAACATGATATATTAAATGTATACCTTAATGTTGTTTACCCTTTATAATAATTCTCACCTGCTAGCCAAATCTGAAGCTTGAAAATTTTAGAACAATTTACATATACTAGGTAAGTTTTCTGGTTTTCATATCGCTAATGCCGCAGTGCATGAATATGCAATTCATATAATTTTCTATAGCATTGATTTCCTCTAACTTCGGCAGTTATTGTCAGTTTTAACGTCTAAAAATAACAAATGTTTACCTCTATAATATATTTTGTTCTACTCAAATAACTTGAAAAGAAATAAAAGTTTGTCTTCCGTTTAAAGTAGAGTTGTCCCAAGGTGCAATGTCTAGGTGTACCTTGGGACACAAAGTGCTGCCTCTTGAGGCTTATCTCATGCTTCAAACAAGTCATACATTTGAAAAAAATTTCACGCCAACATGCATTTTTTTAAAACAAAATAAAGAAGAAAAAAAACAATTATCAGCCTAAACAGCGAGTGTAGAATAGCGATGAATGGAACAAACATGAGCAAGTGTAGCATCTAATTTCTTTTTGTTGCATGGATATTAATACATTAATCCATTTTTTTAATGGATATTAATACCACGTTTTACAGAAATCATGGAAGTCACGTTCCCAATTTGATAATTTGAGTATTTTTAGTTTTTAGAAATAGAGGAAAGAGAATAAAGATGGGTACTTTTTCGAAATATCTTTAACAAATTTCAAATATTAATAAAAGTTATTTAACCCATTCGGTCATACGAGTATATATCAAATGACAATATTTTTTAAAAATTTGCTTAGAATTTTTTAGAGTTATTGTATTTAATTAAGAGCATGTTAAGTTAAATAAAAGATTTTGTATGAAAACGTTGATTAGTTTTATTTGCATTGCTTGGCTTATAATAAATTTTTGAATTAGTTTTTGACAGGTATTAAAGGCACGCGTTTAAGCGTAGATATCAGGACAGGCGAACAGGGAGACTGTTATCAACTGCTTAAAATAAATTTTTGAACGAGTTTTTGACGGGTATTAAAGATTACTTACTTCTAAAGATTACTTACCTTTAAAGATACGTAATTACACCCAATTAAAAGGAACATTATTTTTAAGGATTGTGTTCGAAAATATGAATGGAAAAAAGTCGCAATTCTCTCATTATGCCTATTTTTATTTAAAAATGTGAATACTTCATAACTATTTTTCATTCTCTTGAAAATTAATGCAAGATCATCATAATTTATATTTAAGGATACATTAATAGAATTTATACATTGATGAAATTAGTTTTAGGAAGCAAGAAAAATAAAGAATAGTTGTTCCCATAGCGGGAACTTTAGCTCCTAATTTTTTTTCTAAACTAACTATTTTAGAAAAAAACTTATAGTTCATACAGCATCAAAAGTCATACATGAAATACTGTATGATATCTTTCATCAAACAAATTCTTAAAAAATTTAATAAAATAAAAATCCTTCACTAAATTATTTTAGAAAACTAAACTAACTATTTCAGAAAAAAAGGTAAAAAATTACTTTTCGTACTGAAATTCAATCCTTTAAATTCATGTCAGAAAAATGTTCACGGCTCCCAAATTAATAATTAAAGTTAAATGAAAATTAATTCTATTGTAATAATGCATTAAACTAATACATAATTATGATAATATATTAAACTAATGCATAATTATAATAATACATTAACTAATAAAATATAAAATTTCTAGTATTTAAGCGAAATATTAGATTAAAACACATCTCTTTAGTGAACTTCAGTCTGTTACCCCTGGAATAGATCTATCATTTTAATCTTGTACTCATTATGTATGCAATCTATGAGTGTTAGTTTTATACACGTTCCAATAAGTGTTGCAATATTTGGGTCATACTCTGTATTCATGATTTGTTTTAACTACTATTTATTAAATCATTGAGCAATTTGAGACTTTTTCCTCTTACTACCTCTGAAAGGTATAACAGCAAATTAGCTTCAGTATGTTTACCCAAGAATAGAAAAAAAAACGAAATAGTTTTAGGATATCAGTGCCTTTTGGAATATTTGAAAAGATTTTTTAAAAATACTTGAAATGTAGGCTAAATTAGGAGTCATGACTGCTTGCCCCTGCGCTGCAAATAATTTTCGCAAATAATTTTTTAGTTATACTAAATTTTTAATACTTTTATTTTTTTCTCTAAATTTTTAAAAAGTAGGGTATGGAGAATGCCCCATTACTAATGATAATAACATGGTAACATAAAACATTTGTGAATAAATAAATAAGGTATAAAGAGGTTTCAAAAATCTAATCTGTTCATAAAGCAAAACTTCTCTTTAATTTAATTTTCCATGAAAATGTTTTTAGCGAAATTTTATTTTATATGTGCATGAAAAATTACTGTTTTTTTAAGAATGTTTTGCAAATGATATTGATTGCGTAAAATAGAATCGAAAACAACATTGATAGAGAAACGTATCAAAGAATATACAAAGTCAAAGAAAGTCAAAAGAGAATAGAATACAATCTAAAAAGAGTGATGCATCAAAGAGAAAGTTGTCTGAGAAATGTCAAAAGAGAATAGAATACAATAACAAAGATATAACATAATATACATAATAATATACATAATATAAATGTCATGACAAACTTGGAATTCATATCTTCTACAAATATTAGAAGCATGTTAAAATTTACTCTCAGTTCTGCTCAAATTATAAACTAAAGGAACAATTCTGCTTAATTTTTGTAAAATATTAAATTAGTGCTTTTGCCATTTTTTAGAGTTTCTGGGTAATGCTTCATTACATGTGATTTTTATTTACTGGGTTTATAAAAATATTACTTATTAAACTTAAAATTATTTTTTATTTTTTTCATTTTAAACTTGAACTGAGGTCTCTCGTCTTTCCAACACTTCGAATTTCATTTAAAAACAAATATTTAATTTAGAATAAAAGCCATTTTCTTTCATGCAAACGATTATTAAAGCTTTTCCTTTCTGAACCATTTCAGAAATGAAACTCTCAAAAAACATTTTGAATGAAACAAACACTATTATTTTTCATTCTTAAATTATAAGAAAAGAAAAATTACATAATGAAATTTTTTTGTGGGATAAATAACAGTGCAGCAATAGTTTCAGTTCTATTTAGCATAATGTAAAAATCTCTTGTGCTTCTCCCAACGATTTAATAAATCAAATGACGCGGAAATGCGACAATTCTCAGTATCAGGAACAATAACAGAGGATCAGAATCACATCCACAGCGATCAGTATAAATAATTATATTCTACAGTTCCGTTTTACAGTTAATTGCAAATACTTCCAGCGGCTAACAATACTACATTGTTCGAAAAGAAAAGAAAAACGAAAACAAAAGTGGGGGAAGACTTGAGGTGGAGAAAAGTGAAAGTAGGATTTGAGCAACACTCTAAGATGAGGCGAAAGTAGTTAAGTCAATAGGTTCAACACCTTGACTGGGTCAGCAGGAAAATTCGATATAAAAGAGATGCGATTTCCGCTTTTAAAGGTGTAATAAACCACGCAATCCGCTTTCAACACTTGTCCAGGTAGGTTTCTTCTCTGAATTTTTCTTCTTTTAAAATGAGATTAACTAAAACTAGAAACTAATTTACTTTTCTTTTTGGTAATTTTTACTAGGTTTTCCTTATTTCTACGAAAAGAGAGCATAATAGCTAGAATTAAAATGAGATGGTTATTTTAAAAATAGCTTACTGCGACGCGTTAAAATCAGAGCGTAGGATCGGCGAAACTAAAACAACCATTGTTTATATTTTCAGGATCTCATCAAAGCTATCACATTCATATATGGCAACGTTACTTTTAATAAGTAGCGAGTAAAAGTACAAGTATTTTTAAAAAAAGTAACGAATAAAAAGTTCTTATTTTAAAAAGTAATGAGTAAAAAGTACAAGTAAAAGTACAAGTACTAAACAAAAAAATTTACGACTTAAAAGTACATTTCTAGGAAATCGAAAATTCAAAGTAACCTAAAATTTTATTGAATAATATTCTTATGTTCTTTAATGTTTTTGCAAAATTGTTGTTATTTATTTAATTATTTTTAATTTTGAAAGTTATGGACATTAATTTATTTTTAAATTCGGAAGAATATTATAATATAATTTTATAATATAATCGTATAATATAATTTTAAAATCAAATATAATTTTAATATCAAACTTTTTATGGATTTGCACGAAAAAGAAATTTTATCTATTGATTTTAATTTTAATTTATTATTTTTATTTATTTAAATTACCATTGATTTAAAATTATTTTACTCTTTAGAAACGCGTTTTAAAAGCACAAACATAAGCAAAGCAAACACGGGGTTTCAGATAGCTTTGTGATCTTTGAGCTAGTAGAAAATAATTGAATGTGCAGTATAAGTTGAAACAGAAAGTATTTAAACACGAAGTTAGCTGTGAATGCACATTAATTTTAACATAATATTGCACATTAATTTTATAAATTAAAAAAGCATAAGCATTTATTTTTAAATTTAATGTCTTTTTTTTTTAGAAAGCTTAACGAGTTTCAGAAAAAAGTAACGATTTCATTCGATGTTTCCGTTACAAATACTTGTACTTTTTCCCTATAAAAGTAACGAAAGTACAAGTAAAAGTACTAAATTTAAAAAGTAACGAAGTACAAGTAAAAGTACGTACTTTTTACTTGTACCGGCGGTACAAGTAACGAAAGTAAAAGTACTGCCATATATGATCACATTATATCGCGATGTAGACCAGCTATTCAGAGTTAATAATATTGCAAATAATAATGAAAAAAGAATAGAAGAATGTGAACTACTGAGGATACTTTTTATAACTTCGCCAAAAAATCTTACCAAACATCATTTTGTTCTTCTCTAGTACTTTTTTTATAAAAAAATTTTTAATTAATGTTTATCTTCATTTTTGATGATAACATTGTTAACAAGTTAATTTGAATGCATACTTTCTTAGTCCAATCTAAACTACCTCATGATATGAGGATAGTATAGATAAGTCATAAAAATAATTATTTAACTTATTGTTATTTAAAAGCAAACAAAATTAATATGAAACTGATTGTAACCACGAAATGCAATGTTGAATAATTGATCTAACCGCAATCTGAATGCAATCTGATCTGAATGAAACAATGTAGGTTTTCATTAATTGTTAAAGTATAATAAATTATTATTTTTATTTAATAACCGAAATTTATTTTAACTAAACAAAAAAAAGCTATTTTAAAAACCATTTTCTACATTGGAGATTTATTTTTTTTAATATTTATTTAGCATAAAAAATAATCACTTGATGAATTTAGTCTAGTCAGGTTCATATTTTAAAAAGTAGTTTGGCAAATTAATATTAAGTTCCTGTGAGATATGTTTTGCGACTGCTATTAAAAATAACAAAATTCCACATAATAAACATTTTGAATAAACAAAAAATGCTTAAAATGTGTTAATTCTGCATATTTTTTTTTTATTTTTTCCTCTGCACAAAAATGAATAGATTTTAATAAATAACACCCTAAAATGCGGAAAGAATTTATAAATAAATTATATATCCTACTAAATTCTGTCTAATTTAGCAAATAAATACATTGATAGGTGATGTGTTAGTAATAAATCTCATAATTAACTTAGAAAGCTTGATATTGACATGTCCTTGATTAAGTGTTAGTCTAGCCCCGCAGACTCGTTTGTCTTTTTGAACTTAATTATTGCTCTGTTAATTGTGGCAAAATATAAATATGACGCAAGCATATTCATTTATAGCCATTACTAAAACTTAAATGAATTTACTTAGACATTTTGAATAGTAAATAACGTAGGTATTCCTGCTGTCCACGCGAACTTCCTTTTCCCAAATGAAAATCCTAATATTTGTGTTTTTTGAGAAACATTTTGCTTACTGGTAGATAAATTACAATTACATTGATAATTAAGAACAGAAACTTTTTATGAGCTTCATCAACACTTAAAAGTCACGTCGTATGATTTCCAAGTTTTCGGTATGGATGCTTTTAATTGTTTATTTAAGAAATAGTTGCCCAAATAATTTAAAATCAAATTAATTAATTCAAGAATGAAATACCTAAGATTGTATTTTGCTTCCGATTTAAATATAAAAATAAAATTCTCCTGGAAAACGAGTATGGCACATATGTATGTTTTTAATTATTGAATTTTGAAGAATAAGTAAGCATTTTTCTACGTTGTTTAATTTATTGAACAGTGAAATTTGTTTGGTTTTATTCAAAAGTTAGGAACAAAACATTAATTACTCGATAAAAAAAGTATATGTTCACATGGAAATTTTTTCATTTAAATATAGATGCTTTATTTTAATGTGATTTTGGATTTTCTTTGCTAAAAATTTATTTTTGAAGCTGAACATAAGTTTAGAGTATACTATAGAATGTGTGCCGTTACATCAGGATTCTAATTATCTGACATTTTGAAATCTGAGAGATTTTAGAAAATTGAAATAAAGAAAAGTTATTGTCATATTTTTCTAATATGAATAACGCATAACAAAATTCTCCATATAACAAAACTATTAAGCGGAACATATTTGACTAAATACTTCAAAGTTATATTTATAAATGCTGGTAAATGAGAGATAAATAAATAATTTACTGGTAAATATCGTAATAATTTTCATTAATTTTATGTTGATGATAAAACATAGATAGATCTTCTTTGTAAATTAAAAATCATTTGATGGGATTTTTCCGTCCAAACAAAACGGAATGTTCGAAAAGATGAGACAACAATTAGCTTTTTACAATATATATGATGGCACTCTGTTATAACAAGTTTCATAGTTACTGATTCACGTTTTTCATAGTTACATTTATACCATTGTTAAGTACACTGATAAAAACTACGGTAAAAAGTACCGGTACTTTTTAATGTGAAATCCATTTTCAACCGGAGCATGTTGCGGAACAAAAATCTGATGAATCGTAATTTTTTGGTAAAAATAGATTTTATGCTAAAATGGGTTTTACGGATGATGAACCTAAAGTGTCGGAACTTTATACCGAAATTTGTTCCGGAATTTTTAACATGTACAAGACGGATGACTCTTATTATTCATTACTTTTTTGTATCTAAATTTATTGAAAATTTAATTATTAAGATCTATTTGTTTAATTATTATTTATAGTTTTTTTTCTCTGTAAAAGATTGTATGTTATTGTCTTCATAATTAAGCCGATTAATTTTTAAAAAAAGCTGATTAAATTAATTCAAAATTACATAAAAATAAAGGTATTTATTCAAGAAGCGTTTTTATATAAATTATCTAGCAGTTTAATAAGAAAATAAAGAAACAAAACATTTCTTCTCTGTTTCTCTCATTAAAAAATAAAAGTTTCAGATAAGTATTTATTAAAAATAATTCGTCAATCGAGGTTAAACCTCTAGCCGCAATTGAAATATAAATGCATAGTTCATAAGATATAATTTTTTTAATTGTCTAAGTAACAGTTATTTGTACTGAGTGAACGGAGTAAAGTGAATATATATTGAAAATCAATGAAAATCCTTAATTTATTTTCAATTTATGCATTTTAATAGCTATTTACATTGAAAGTGAATGAATGATTACAATACACAATAATACCAGATGTTGTAGATAGGAAATTAGAAGTACCACATCTGTTTTGAAAGCGAAACAAATAGTTACTCTTACTTATTTTGAAATCAGCACGCAAGTGCTGCGTAGCGCGCATACTGAGCAAACAGTAATCAGAAAAAAGATCATCGGAAAAAAACACCGAATAGAATCTAAAAAACACTTCTGGAAAAATCACCGAAAAGAATGCAAAATAAATAAATAAATAAATAAAAAATAAGCCTTTGGAAAAAGAAAGGAGTAAAAATACAGAACTTTAACAATTATATGTATTTACATCCAATTTGATTTGGACCGTTAAGCGAAAAAAGTACGGATTTAGAGTAATTAAGTGCTAATTCTAACAAATTTAGATATTTTGTAGTAAAATTAACTAAAGTACAAGAATTAATTTAAAGTTCATGGACGGAAATTTACCTAATTTTGAATTTAATAAATTTAATAAAATTTTTAAGACTTTTAAGCAGCTCCATAATTTTACTGAATTTCCATAATTATACTAATTGTGCTGTGATAATAATTAATCAACAAGAGATTTTTTTTTAAAAAAAAATATGGTACAGAAATGGAGCATTTCAAAATTTTTGCCAATATTTTCAACTTATCACAAAGTTAACCTCCTGACAAGCTATTATTAATTGATACATTTTTTTGGAATAATAATACATATATTAAGAGTATTATATAATTGCATTGTGTACAACTAGGAAAAATTAGCATATGCATTGAAAGTTCGTTTCCGCAAGCTTTAAACTAAACTTTTGCATATTAATCAGTCTTTAAAAAAGTATTTATATTCGAATAAACATTTAATTATATTGAATTTATGTGTAGCATCCTGAATCATATCAATCATTAAATTCTTGTAATCGTAGAAATAGTGCTTTTTTCCGATGCCTTTTTCCAATGCTCTTTTTCTTTACCTTTTCTTTAAGAACTTTTTTTCTGAAAAACATTTTTTCTATATTTCTAGTATTAAGTGTCACTTATAGCAAAAGAAACTCGCTTTTCCTAATGTCTGTGGCTAAAATGTGTAGTTATTGTATCCAATACAAGCAAATTTCATTAAAATTATTTAAACTTAAGCAATATTTCATTAAAATTAATTAAATTTAATCAGTTTTTAACTAAAAATACTTAATTTCAAATAGTCAAATTGCCAATTAAAATGTAAACAATATTCTATAAAAATTAAACGGTGTTCCATGAAAATTAATTTTTGTCAATATCTTAAAAACTTGACGTAATAGAGCAAAACGTTTTTCAGATTTAAAATCAGCATTAAAAATTACATTAGAAAAGATTTTTTTTAAAAATACTAAACATGTCAGGATATCTATAGCTTCTTTTGTCAGTTGTAAAACTTAACAATAATATCTATTTCTTTTTTCTTTTTGTTTGCAGTTCATCGAAAGAATATTAAAATATGAGGCTCTATTTATTGGCCTGCTTCGTTTTTGGCCTTCTAATAGCCATCGCTCAGAGATCCAACGCTCAGAGTAGAGTTGCTCTGCAGCTTCGGTGCTTGACATGTCCTGGTAATGATCAAGATCACAAAGAATGTTGCAGAGGTGTCAACAGATGCTGCCAAGGAAGAGTCAAATTAATCGGTGATTTCCCCCAACCATCCACCACCGCATACGGCTAACCAGCAGCTGAAGCTTTGCCATGGTCTTTTGTTACTAGCAAGCATAAAAATGTGATTATCTTTTGTTATTGTGTTGTAAATGTGAGCTACAAGCTGGTTATTCTTACCATTGCATAGAGTTCCGAATCGATCGTCATTATCAACTTTCGTGTTATTTTTATTTATGTAAATAGAACTTCATTTGTAAATAAATGTTTTCAGTGATTGTATTTTGTGTTTTTTGTTTGTGCTAGTTAAGTCAAGCATTAAGAAATTTAGTGCTTTTTTTTTTTTAAATTTTCTACACAATTATTGACATATAAAATTGTCTTTTAAAATTTTAGAGTCTTAGCTGTTTTCAAGATATGTGTTAATATGTTCGTTCTAATGTTTTATTTTCTAATTTAAGAAGAAAGCTACGTGGAAATTTAAAAATATTCAAGATTTTATCTTAACATAATGCTGCAGTTTGCTGCAGATTTGAGAACTAAGTCCGGAAAGTACCAAATGAGATAAATTCAATTGATAACTTACGATAGTTTAAATTCTTATAATTTATTAATTAAATAATAAATGGTGACCTTCTTTTTAGGATAGTTCCTGTGTTACAAATGAATAATAATTAGTGGAAAGCTGGAAATTATCCTAAAAATTGTAGTTCAAGCCCAATATGAATGTCAGAAATTCGCCCTTCCTCCAAGATCAGCTTAAGCCACCATCTTTAATTTATTGAAGGGGAGTGGGTGCAAAAAGGCAGAAAACTTAAACTTCACTAAATAGACTAGTTAGGCACTATTTCATGCTTATTTTTTATGCTTAATCGAATGACACCAATATCAAGTTAATAGACTTATAATTTAAGAACTAATCAGGGATTTAGTAATTAGGAAACATTATAAAGTACAATTTTTTATTATACCTATTTAAGCGTTTCAAATTAGTATCTAGACAGACAGTATATTATTTCGTAAGAATTATTAATGCTTATAAATTTAAAAGTTCTAAGGGTCTTATATCTAAACAATTATAAATGAAAAATAATTTTTTTAATACTTGATACTCTCATAACTTCTGAACTAATAGTTCTATCTACTTGGTTTTGGTTACATTCGTAAGACAATACATAGGATTCAATACTTCCTTCAATTATATAGTAATGTCAAATATGTAAGTCTACAAAACTGTACTTTTATGGATAAAAACTTTTGGAACATTTAAACTGTTAAACCTACCTACTCTATTTTGGTCTAATTTAATTCAGAGTACAAATTTTTATGGGAAATCTTATTTCATTTATTTAGATATTTACTGTATTTCAGATGTGAAAATAGGTATAACTAAAAAATTATACTTTTTGTACCTCATACTTACTAAATCCTTTATAACTTTAGAGCAACTTGATTTTGGTGTTAATATTGAATTCATTTTGGAATTCATTCATTAATTCAGCACAAAAAATACACGGGAAACAGCATCTCATATATCTACAAATAAAAGCACTCACCTTTCGAATTTTTTCCACTTCCATAAATTCAATATGGCGGCTAAAGCTCAACTTAGTCCTAACCTCTTTCCTAACTTCAAACTTCTTCCTAATTATTTTCATTTTAGACGAATCCCCGTTATCTTCCTTATCGTAATGATTGACATAATGACATAAAAATATAATAACTATAAATTTTATAGAAGAAAATTATCGTTTCTTTACTTGGGAAAAATATCGACTTATAGGAAAAAGAAACGATGATTAATGAAAACAATAACGGGGGCTATTAAAGCGGAGACTCCTATTATAGTAAAAAATTGTAAGACTCGGTGTTGTTTTGTTTGTTCAACTTTATATTACATTTCGTTTTGCTGCAAAAATCTATAAGACATCGAAACTTTAGATAACGTAGGTGCGTAAGAAATGCACAAGTAGTAATATGGCATAAAAGAAATTAACATTCGATTGATATTTCGAGAATTATTATTTGTTAAACGTGTAATAAAAATTACACGTAGACTGTTTACAATCTGCAGAAATGCAACTAAGGAGTTGAAATTGGACGTGATGAAAGGATTGTTTTGTTTGAGGATTTTAACACGATCTTTCGCCAAAATTCCAATTTGTTTGAAAGTTTTTGCAATTTTAAGCTCTTTTCTTACAAATTTTAAGCTAAATGTAATAAAACCAAACACTAGTCAATGGAACTAATGTTTCAGAAACTGCAAGGTTTCTTTTTTTTTTCTTTTTTCAAATAAAATGCACTTTTTAATTTTTTACTTTTGTAACTATGTTAGAGTACGTTAAAACAATAATATTATTAATAAAAAACAAGTTTTTTTTAATATTGCATATGAAAAATTGGACATAGGGGATGAAATATGCCACAAATGATCAAAACAAAATTAACAATCTGATAGATAAAAAACCGCGACAGTTGGTAAACCTGTTCAACAGATATTAACGGAAATTTGATTCGCAATAATGAATTTCAACAATGAATTTTCTTATTTTTGATACTGTTAGTGAATTACTCGACGTCAGAAAGTTCAAGTGGTGAAATCAATGGAATAGAATGGAGGATAACAAAAATTTGCAAGCTGTAGGGGGAAAAAAGAAAAACACGATCCAAAACTGTGTTTTTGCTCTCACGTTATTTGAGTACATCTTTACATACAGACTTACGTCTTTATAAATACAGGGTCATTCATAATTCCCTTCGCCTGTAAACACCTTTTTTCTTTACTACAACTGACTTCAGTGGTACATGTTACTGCCATCTACCGGCAACTGCTTAAATTAAAACTTGAATACTTTCAGAATAATTTCATATGTTCTTTTTTGCCATATTCGTCTTCGTTTTTTTACTATAACGCTTCGAAACCCCGGAGGGAATTATGAATAACCCTTACATGGGTTGATAGATCAG